TCCTGCCAACACATCCGGAGCCACAGATGCAGCAGCATAGCAGATTGTGGAAGGCAGAGTAGCCCTGGAGGCAAAATGTCCACTCTTTTCTTAAAGGATCCCACCCTCCCCAGATTAGCATCATTAGTTTCCATGTTGCTGGCGACTAGCCTTCCTGCATTGTGGAAAAGCATGGTGCTCTTTGAAAAATTTAAAAGGCACTCTTGAGGGTGCCAGAAGACACCCAAGGGTACCATGGCATCCTGGTTGAGAAAGGCTGGCCTAGCCTGACACAGGTCACCTCCACCTACAGTTCCAGACAGGTGTCCAACTGTTCAAAGCCCAAGTTGGGCACAACCCAGAACCTGAAGTTCACTGCTGATGAAGTAAAAATAAAGCTGTGATTATAAACTACAAAATAGGAAAATGGGAACTTGTTGGCATTCAAGTATTGGGTGTACTTGTATGACAGAAAATTGATATATGCAAAACTGTAAGGGTCTCAGATGAGGGTAGGATCCATGCAGACTAGCACAGGATGGCAGAGGATGCTCAGATCCATCAAAAGATAGAAACAGGGTTTTGCATAGGCCCAAGTTATATATTGCCTGGTCTTTACCGAGGGCCCCCGATTCTAAGGATTTATTTGTGTGGTGGGTTCCCTTAGAGAAATCCTTGGAATAGACTGGCCATGTATAGGCAGAGTTTTCACAAAGGCTGACAAAAACAAGCCATCTTCCATCAAACCAGTAGTGATGAAGTTTGCAACTAGATTACACATTCTTTCCCATCACAGAGATAGAAGACAGCAGAAAGTCTTAACAGCAAGTTATAGCTCACAACAAAAAAAAGTTCTACTCCAAACCATTAAACAATTGTATCAGCGTGTCATTGTCATGTGTATATCCACCCTTGCCAGAATGCAGTAACGAATTGTGCATCAGTTCTACTATAATAAATAATAAAGTCTTACATAGAAAATCTTAATCCGGGAAACCTCCAGCCGAAGCAGCTCTTCCATTGTCAGCTCATCAGTGCTTTTTGTGAGAGAGAGAAAGCCACATGTGGTAGATCTTTTTGAATGTTCAACCCTGCGATAGACAGTGTTAAAAGTCAGAATCATCTATGATCTGGGCAGGCATAGGTACAAAGTAGAATTTTGTCATGGACTGCTACAGAGTAGCATGCTTGTCTAGTCCTGTACCAAAGAGGACACGACAAAGCTAGGGTAACCATAACCAACCTTCCAGTTTTCTTTTATAGGTTAGCAAATAAAAGTCAACACTGACACTTTCTTTTATGACTCAGCCACAATTAAAACTTTATATACTGAAAGCAGTAGAACATATGCCTTTATAATGTGCTCACCGAGGGTCATCATCTGGCTCCCAGCCTTCCAATTCTTTGAGGCAGAAAAAACAGCAGGCAACATCCGGCTCATTCTCTGTTGGACAATGTATAAAGCCAGCCTTTGCCATCTATCGGAACAGAAATAACAAGTCATCTTTTAGCAGAACTTAATATCGACTAACATAAAAAGCTCCCCCCTTGTTTATATTAAATGAGCAGGCTTTCAAAGTGTGCGGCATATTAACCACTTGTTGTCCGGAGCAAATTTCTTACAATTGCGCACACACGATAAAATCTGAATTTTTGGCTAGAAAACAGCTTCAGACCCCCAAACAATGATATATTTTCCGAAAGCAGACGTCCTGTCGAATAAAAAGATGCTAGCTGCAATTTTTATGTTGCACTGTATTTGCGCAAATGTGTTTTAAAACAATTATTTTTAGGATTAAATACACTAAAATGAAATTTAGCACACAGAAACAGAATATAATACCCACTTTTGGGTGAATAGAAGAGGCAGGGTCACACCAGGTAAGTAGATACCAATCATGTTGAGCCTTAAAATTGAGCGCGTCCGTAAAACCGCAAGAAACAATCACAAAAATGTCCAATAGGCGACACTTGAAAAACTTTTACTGCTCAATTTAGTGTTCACAGTGATTGATGCGCCCATAACTATTGCTCTTACTCTGATGCTCGCAACGATATGCAACATGTGTGGCACAATTTCCGTTTTTGCGTGTAGGCGCATTCAACGCATTTTGGCATTGTATGTGCGTGCACCTGGGGGGCGGGGGACTTAACCTGTTACTTTATGTTTTAAGATTTTTGTTTACACTCTACTTTATTGCCATCTTATTGCTAGCTATCCCCCTATGTAATAGTAAATATGTGACAGGTCCTCTATATGGAGACATCAGAGGTCTTTCAGACCCCTAGTGTCAATAAGGGACCCCAAAGAAGCTGATGAAGCAGAGATCTGCTTCACCAGTTTCTTCTTCTGGCTCTAGGAGCCGGAGAATGTGCCCAGCGACACCAGAAGTGATGTAATGCACATCACTTCCGGGTCCAGTGATCAGACGAGAGATCAGCGACAGGAAGCCTGCTGATCTCCCTCTGATTCATCAGGGCAGACCCCCCCCCCCTATCGGTCCCAGGCTCCCACAGGGGACAGCGGAGCACGGGAAGCTGACAGGACACAGCGCAGCACTGTACAAGCGATCCGGCGCCTGCACAGATGCTGGATCGCTTGTATTTAAACAGCAATCGTCTGCAATTTAAAATGGTACCGAGAACACAGCTGCAGCAGAAGTTGTGTTTGTTGTATAACCACTTCCAGTGGAATACTTGTATTTAAGTGAACCCGCAGGAAGTGGTTAAAGCCCAGCTCTAGCTAAAACTTGAATTTTTAGATCGCATGGGAGATGGGTATAAACCTCAGTTTATTGTTTCCTGTGTAACATTTTAGGAGATTCCACCTCCCTTTATTTCCAGTTCCCTGCAGAGCGATAGGCGGAGGAAGGGAAATGACTGATGCAGGTCAGACCTGAACAAGAAGTTAGGTGAGTATTGGATGGAAGGGGGTTTGTTTTTTGTTGCGTTTGAAAAGAGGGGAGGGAGGGCCAGCTAGCATAGTGATAGGTGGGTTTAGCTCAGGGATGGAGTTAAGGGGGCCATCTTACTGTACAGTGTGCAGTATGAAACCATTTTAGGTGGGAGAGAAAAGTAGTCAGTCCCGCCCACCCTCGCCAATACTATTTCAGCTTTTTTTGTTTCCAAAGGGTTAGTTTCTGCAAGTGTGGCATTTGGGGAGGAGGGACACATTCTCTCTAGTTAGGGTTATGGGTATTCCTTTTCTACGTTATAAGTGGTATTTGTGTTTTTGGGAAATATGGCTGACTTATTTTTCTTCTAAGTTAGTTGTCCATTGGGCGGGTCCCTGGTGGTGCCATACAGCGACGACGAAGAACTGGCTCTCCGCAAAGTGAAAAGGGCAGAGTAGTAGGGAAGTGCCAATGGTGGGGCTACTGGGCTCTATAGCTTGGTAACCAGTAAGAACTTTGGCAACTGTTGGTGGGCGTACCCACTCGGGCCATATTATGGGCGGCCGGTACAGTAAACAATGGTCATGCTACACCCCCCGTAAGCGGTGAGTGGTGTTTTTTGGCACTCGTCAGGGACAGAAGTATTTTTTTTAGCTACATTGCACTATTTTCTGTTGAGATTTAGTTCAGTGTTCACAAGTAATGTTATTTAGTATGTTCTGTTACTGTAAATGTTTACATCGCAGTGGCCTTGCAACCTTCCAATAAATGTCATTGTATTACGTTCTTTGAAATGACTGGTGTTTAGTGTGTTATTTAGGTGGGAAGTGAGGGTTACTTGGCCTTGCAGTCAGTCGTGTACCATACAAAGTGTGCTGGTGAGATCATTTTTGTTCCCAGATCATCCATCTGCTTCTAGCTTTAGGATGGATTTTCATCTAGTATCCAAATTAATAAATTTTAGATAATTGGGATTAAGAATCCTCCTGCCTCATGAAGAATGAAGAATAAAACCTCGATAAGAGCCTTGACTATTGCAAGTAGAGCTTAAACTAATGAAGGGCTTCTTACCCTATTGGCAAGGTTAGCTTGAGGGAAGGGCTGCCAAGTTACTAAAATCTCATAGGTTTTAACAGGTTAAAGAGGAACTATTGCATTTTGAAGAGTTAACCCTTTCAGAAGAAATACCAGATCCTCGGTCCCGTCTGGCTGCTAGCCTGCGACCCCCACAGACCCCCCTAGGCTCCAGTGGTCTAACGACCTGTGATGTTGTCACATTTAATACAGCCTATTAAACTTGAAGACTCGGAGAGACATTCTACCACTGGTACAGATGGGAAGAGAGATGAGCTATCAATGCCACAGGATCAAGATCAGGCGAGTATTACTTCTTTAATTTCACTCCTAGAGAAAAAAATAAAGCACTTAACCCTTGCAATGCAAGAGTAGCCCCACTCCAAGGGTTAACTTTTCAAAATCCTGGAATTCTTTGAAAATTGTGTTTTAAATGTTTTGTTAAAATACCTGGTAATCCTGGCACAAAGGTCCATGTGCCGATACTTCCTGTTCAACACAATGCCATTGACGTGCAAGTACAGCATCACACTGCTTTCTTTAGATTTGAAAACTATATTTGATTGACTTATTGTCCCAATCCTCCAATTGTTTAGCCACATTTTCACCCTGTCACATACCCTCTTAAAGGAGGCTGTGCTTGCACACATTGCACAGCTACAGTCTACTTGTCACCATCAGGAAACTATCCATGAGAAATCACATGCACAGACATCCCAACTCTCCCTGACACTCTGGAAATCTCCCGCTATTTGAGATCGGCCGCCGGCCACCTGGGAGAGAAACATTTTCTACCGGTTCTACCGGAAAGGTTTACTCTGTTAGATCTAGCAGAGTAAACCTTTCCATGCGATCTGTTTTGTTTTTCCTGACATTGGGGCCGCCGTCAGTCAGAGAAAAAAAAACAAACAAAAAAACAGCATAGGAATGCATAGCTAGATTGCTATTGGCTAGTTCACTTTGCATTAGCCAATAGCAGACTAGCTATTGCACCCGCCCACTGCTGCTGTCAATCAGCAGAGGGGGACCTGAAGTTCTTCACCAGGTGCTCTTCTAGTGATTGACTACAGCAGAGAGCAGGTGCAATAGCCAGCTTGCTATTGGATATTGAAAACTGAACTAGCCAATAGCAATCTAGCTAGCAATCTTCCTATGCTGTTTTTTTGAGTATGTTAACAAAAATACAGCAATAAATTAGCCAACTACATGTGAAACAGTTAGCATTCATGTGTACTTTAAGAGGGTGCAAAAGGCCACACTAAGCGCAGGTTCCCCACCTGCCAGACAAGTTCCCACTTTATTTTTTTTGTAGTTTATAGCCACAGCTTTATTTGTGTTTTTACTTTATCAGCAGTGAAACTTCTGTTTGAGTTGTACCAAACTTGGACTTTGGATAGTTGCACACATCTAACTGTAGGCAAGGGTGGACTGTGTCAGGCTTGGTTACTTGGGTTCTCACAGTTTATCTGGGGAACAAGGGGTTCTGATCGATTGGATGTTGATAGTGTGTGGTCTATTATGGTTTTGTTAACTCTGTGGTTTAGCTCTAACACAAACATTTTTATAGAGATTATGGCAAGGCTAATTTTCTTCTCTTTCAGAATGGTACCTTTTGTGTAACATTATGCCTTATTCCAAGTCACCAAGGAGACCTGAGACATACAATAGGAAAATGAATCCAGGTAGTCAGTATGCATACTGCCAACACTTTGAGCAGGTGTGAACAACTCTGGACCTCAAGCTGTGCTTAAAATCTGCAAAGCATCACAGTCGCAGCAATGTATAGGAACATTTTTTCCATAGCAGATCCTTATCCAAGATGGGGGTCTGGTATAGATACCCTCCCTATATGGACCATTTGCCTCGTAGTGAGATATATATCTATATCTATATATAAAAGACACTGGATCTCAGGTACAGATGTGGAGACACAGTGGGATGGATCTACTAAAGGAATAGAGCACAATTGCTTCATAGAGTCTAAATTCATGTATCTAAGCGCAAGAGGTGAAGCAGTGTAGAATGTAATCATCTAATTATGTGCAAGTAAAAGTTTTTTTTTTTACATTTCCAAAGTGAACACAATTAACTAAACGAACAGCATTATATATTTATTTTTTGTAAAATCAACCCCAATAGGTTTCAATAACATATTTGCCCCATAGCAGTTCATGTGCAATAGACAAGAAATGAGACATACTCACATTTTCAGGCGTGCACTTGCAGTTTTCAGTAAAGGGCCAGTCAGCAAATGTTTTGAGCCTTGCATTGTAGTCATACATAGTCTTAAACGTCTGCAGCCTCTGCAGCGTTTCACTGAACTTGTTGTTAGCAACATGCATGATGTACATCCAAAACTATCACAGACCTCCTTACACATCTATTTGTGCTCAGGGTGGTGATGCCTACAGACCACACCTAATAATGACCAGCTGAAAATTAACCCAAAGGTTCCAAGAAACCACCGAACACTGATTCCAACTGATAACACAGTGCAGTGCAGATTTGGAGGTGCTGCTTTTAGCATCCAATTAGTTAATTTTGTTCCCAGATCATGCATCTGCTTCAAGACAGAGGTTAGAAAATTAAAGTAGAGCTGAAGACAAAACTTTTTTTGTTTTAGATAGATTAAAGGAGGGTTATAACCCCTTTCAGCTTTTTTTGCCATCTGTGTCTTATTGGAGAGATTTCCCTGCACTTCCTGTTCGATAGCCACAACAGGAAGTGAGGGAAATTCCCGGTGGTCAGCAAGGTCAACAGAACTAGGGTACCCATTTAAAGATTTCTCATCCATACCTGTTAAGCTGGCCATAAACCTACAGATTATCTGCAGATTTTCTCTGGCCAGATAGAAAAGGTGCAACAGATTCCTCCATCTACTCTAAATTGGGTGGACTGAGGAATCTCCCACTGGGCCAAGCTTCAGTATCTTGCTAGTTGGCCCCGCTAACTGTCAAAATACCTGAACAAGGCCTGCATCCAATCAGATTGTTCAGGTATTTTGACAGTTAGCGGGGCCAACTAGCAAGATACTGAAGCTTGGCCCAGTGGGAGATTCCTCAGTCCACCCAATTTAGAGTAGATGGAGGAATCTGTTGCACTTTTTCCATCTGACCACAGAAAATCTGCAGATAATCTAGAGGTGTATGGCCAGCTTTAAGGTGACAACCTACATTTTTGAATTTTCTTTCACTTTAGCCACCAGGACAAATAGAGAGGGGGAATCTCCCTCATGGGGACACAGACAACAATAAGAACCTGACAAGTGTTCTAATCCCACTTCACTCCTTCCAAAACTAAAAAAAAAGTTGAACTTTGAGCAAGGGTTTGACTGTATGTTACACCAGCATATTTGTTTTATTTAGGTCACTATGACCTTTTTTTCAAAAAGTACATGGGTTTGGTTACTACAACACACCACTTTTTTATTATTATTTTTAATAATCATGTTTTTTTAATCATAAAACCAACCGAAGGAAACTCAGTGACAGACTGGACTGCAAGAATAATTTTCCTTTAAGTGTAACTAAAGCCAAAAGGGGCAGAAAGTGATGGAAATTCAACATTTTACAATTGTCATCAGAACAGGAGATGAAGGAAATATTCTAATAGGAATTCCTGTTCACAACACAACACAACAAAGAAGTCTCCCCAATAGAACACATACAAAAAAAGACAGTTTTTTTAACCCTTCAATGCACTATCCCAAAAAAAAACAATTTCTGGCTTGGTTTTTTGTATATGTGTTTTTCCCCCTATTGTGTGTGTGTGTGTTGGGGGCTAGGTAGATAGAAATGGCCCAGAAAGGAACAGGCAACAACAGAGAAGGAGGTTCTTAACAGATTAAAGCCCTAACAAAAAATTCCTTCTGATCTTCCTGTTTGGCCTGTTAAATATATTATTAAACAAAGCCTCCCTTCTGTGTAACCTGTCATGGGCGGAGCACCATCTGTTACATACAGGCGGCGCTTCATCAGGCGTTTGACAGTTGTTAGGTTACACAGCAGCGGGGTGTGTAACCGAACACAGTGAGGTCAGAGTTACAACAACCTCTGACTTGGAGTCAGAGGCTTGAGCTCTGTGGATGGTTTGGACCAATGGCCATTCAATTAAAAAAAAGAAAAAAACACTGACGGCATCCATCTAGATAACTCATCAGTGGCGAGCAAGTGAGGGACAGGGAGGCTTCTTTAACGTCTCTCCCTCCTCCCACACTCCACAGTCAGTGCAGTGCGGGGGTAGGCTGGGGTGGGGGGGGGGGGCTCA